CCCAACCCCCCAAACGAAACTTCTCTGTTCAAAGTTTTCTTTGCGGATTCGGGGAGATCTCGGTGAGCACAGTCCAACCATGTTTTCAAAAAAATAAATAAAAAAAATTGACCCACTTTTGGACCCAACMGGAATTCCGGTTGGACCACCGGGGGTCCAACCGGCCGGTTGCCGGCACAGCCATGGAAAAAGGTGCCATTCCTTATTTAAAAAAAAAAAAGAAAAAAGAAGTAAGTGCCATGTCTGTTTTCGAAAAGTTTGCAGCATGCACACTTCCTTTGTTCCCACCCGCCAGGTGCCCAAACCAGTGCCATTTTCTTTTCTCGACTTATGCGTGTCATCCTTGATTTGCAATCAGACTCGCCTTTGTCTTCGTTCAGCATGCATGCAAACAGATTGAAATCCACACTGGTGCCAGGCGCCCACACAAAGCTCAGAGATATTACAGCCAAAACACAGTTCAGATACAAACTCGTTTCACACTGGCTATGGCGCCTGAGCGCCTACACTTCACTTCCCCGATCTGTATTCACCACGGCTGTTCGCACACACTCAACTCTAGATCTCCCTGAACATCTCACGTACATACACTCTGTACCACACACACACACACCCTCACTACTACCTATCGCTAGCTATGGCAGCTCTGGCCGCCGGTGACAACTCCCTACAAGCAGCAATGGCTGGTCTATCTTCCTTGCAGCCCACTTCGACTACGGGCATCGGCAGCCCACCTCGCACAAGACGCCTGGGCAGCGCTTCCGCATGGCTCACGCAGAAAATGAATGAATGGCCGTACACTGCCTCTTGATTTATACTTGTGTTGGTCGCTGGTTTGCCCCTTTTCCACCGGCCCATGGTGCACACAGTCCCACATGGTACTTGCTGACCGGACAAAGTGAGACGGGGACTGGGTACCGCTGACTAAGCGAAGTTGGACTACCCACTTGCCCACTTACCTCTGGCTAAACGTGAGGCAACACTCGAAACGCCACTTCCGGACCTTCCGGAAGTCTGTGGACTTGGCCTTTCGGAGCGTTTTGGAGCTGTAGCAGCTACGACCTTGACCTTTCAGGACTGTAGCAGCTACGACCTCGACCTTTCGGAGTTGCAACAGCTATGACCTCTACACAGCTATGACCCCTACTCGACAGACCTACGGTTCAAGACCCGACACCTACACAGACCTATGACAGACAACAGTCGGCTATCAAAACGCAGGTCACGGGTTCAAAGCACACACAGGTCGACTTGATACTGTACACGGGTACGGTAAGGTCCAGGGATCGAGCCCTGGGATCTGCATCTGTTACAGCAAAGGTGAAAACCGTTTCAGATTGTGCAGGTGCCATCTAATCTCCATTCTCTGTATCATTCCCATTTTTTTAACGGATGTCCCAACGGACCACCAGTGCCATTCCCATTTTAAAGGATGTCCCAACGGACAACCAGTGCCATTTTCTCAAACTTAGTACACTTCCCGTCATATCGGGGGGCAGCTGAAAATCTTCTGGTACCCGTACATAAAACCAGCTGGCAACGCAAGTGGTTAATGGGGACCCCCACTTTCAGCTCGGACAGCTCCTGACTAACGGGTCCAAAACTGACATTAGGGGTTTGCGGGTGAAATTTTGTGGGTTTTTTTTTTTGTTTTGTTTTGTTTTGCCTGTTTTTGTTTGTGTTCAAGGTTGCGGTGTGCCAAATTTGGTATCATTTGGAGCACTGGAATTTCCTCTGCTGAGATTTCTGAAAATTGGAATCTTGGCGAAATTTCATGAAAGTGCACTTTTGCACTTGCTGTTTTATAAGTTAGTTTTTTTCTGGGGGGGGCGATTTGTGCTGCTGGCGGTTCGGAAAAGCCTGGCGCGCAGTGCCTCCAGCACCCGTGGTGTAAAACTCAAAATTGGAACAATACAGGGAAGACTACCGTCTTCACCTGAATAGAACAACCGGTCATTATAAGTGTATTTGGGCCAACTTCCACTCTAAATACAGCAATAATGACCGGGCGTTCCATTCGGGTGAAGACGGTAGCATGGCCACTGCACA